GCATCAAGGCTTTTAACGTGTACTAAAAAACATGACCACATCACACCAGTCTTACACTCTGCACTGGTTGCCTGTGCAATATCATGTCACTTTTAAAATTCTTCTCTTGGTTTTTAAATCACTTAATGGCCTGGCAACTTTTTATCTGTCAGATCTGTTGACTGAACCTGGTTGCTCTCCTCGGTCATTGATGCATCCCTAAGTCTAGGCTGAAATGCAGAGATGACCGTGCTTTTTACAGTAGCTGGTCCTATATAGAATGCTTTGACCCTCTATTTTACAGTAAATCTATATCACCCCTGTCTGATTTTAATTCTAGGGTGAAAACCTACCTTTTTGATTTGCCAATTTATCCGTAAGAATTGTATAAAATGTATAAATAATAGTGACACTGATGTAATGAAACATTTTCATTACTACTACAACAACTACTACCGCTGCTACTACTACTACTACAACTACTGATGATAATAATAATAATAATAATAATAAAATAATAATAATAATCAAACCCTTAAAATTTTAAAACAGTATTTTTAGTACTTTTCTTTATTTTTACATTTGATGTTAATGCTTATACCATTAGGGCCACATTTGCAGTAGATTAGCCGTTTCTATTTTTTTGTACAAACACTGAAGTTTTTAACTAATGTTCATGTAAATGAGAAGAAGCACTTATAGGATGCCATGTCAAATTATGCAGCGTCTCTCAGCTGCTTTCTTAAATTATTCTTGCATCAAGTTTCTGCATACAATGAGAGTATAAGTAATCTAAGGGGTGAAACCTTTAATTAAAATTTAATATGGCTGAAAACAAATCACGACATTCGGTGCTTAATTATTTATGCTGTGTTAAAAAGTCACAGGAGCGACCTGTGCAATTAATAACTTTACAAAATAACCTATAGCCTAAGTCAACTCTGGCTTCGCTGGTCACAGAGGACTTTTTTTTTCCAGCTTTCATTCTACCTGCTCAGGCATTCTGGATTTTATTGCAGTATTCAAGAGGAAATCCACCAGACCGCTGGTTAAATAACACTAGCTGTGATCTTAGGTGGTAATAAGCTGCATATTTTAGTGACCGTACTGCTGTACAGTCTTTCTGACTGTATCACTATACTGTTAAAGATGTGCTAAATATTATCTCATCTAGTAATAATTGTCTTATATGGTGTTTTTAATTAAGATTCAGCATATTTTAACTCCTTCTAACAAGGTTTTAAACCATATGTCAAGGACAAAAAGATTTTTTTTTTTCCTAATTTCTTTATCTGGCCAATACACCTGGTCAGTATTAGTATGGAGTATTAATAGCTCTTTTAATGGTCTGATTACTCTTATGTGGGACCTTGTCTTTATCATTTATTAATAACTTTCTCAATTCAGTGTGTGTCTCGACTGTTTATTATTATCTCCTCAGCAAACCTAATCTTGATCCTGCTGTTTTGTCTAATTTTAGACCAGTGTTCCATTTTCAAGGTCTGAGAAAAAGTTTTTATTCAGTTGCAATCTTATCTCGAAAAAAAAAAAAAGTTTTATAGTTTTATTTTTGAGAGACGTTTTACATAGATCACACACACTGTAAAAAAGGCTGGCTTCCACACAATTCCTTCATGTTGTCCTAACCTCATTCGATTAAGTTAACTTAATTGTTTTTGCAGATTTGATTCAACTCATTTTTAATATATTAGGTTGAACAAGACACAAAAATATTTTTTGAGTGCATCACACCACTGAATCAACTTAATTGTTTAATCTTCAATCTACTTAATTGTGTGGAAGCCAGTTTTTTTTTAAATTGTTTTTTTAATTATAGTTTCTCAGTTATGATTGGTAATGTCTACTATCTTGCCCCCTTGATTTCTGGTGTTCCTCAGGGATTCATATTGGGCCCAGTTTTATCGTCATTATACATGTTTCCATTAGTGTCAATCATGTTAAACAATAAGGTCCCTTTTTTCATCTGTACGTTGATTATGTTCAAATGCTTCTCCCAGTCGCATCAAACTCTTCAGATACACTTTTATAGTTGACAAAACTTTCTCTCTCTGATTGAAAACAAAAGTGCATTGTGTTTGGCAATTCAAACCTGTCCAATGACTTCTCTCCAAATCATCTCACTCCATCTACACATTTTAGGCATGCAGTTAAATGTCTGGGTGTGAATTTGGACTGAAGATTGATAAATTAATTCAGTGATCAAGGCAAGCTTTTTCCAGCTTCACTTTTGTGCCAAAGTTAAGCCTTTTCTGAGCCAGAGCGATCTGGTAAAAGCCATTCATGCCTTTTGTTAGCTCTCGTCTGGATTTTCAATGCACTTTGTTGGAATGAACCATAATAAAAAAAAATGAACACATCACACCTGTCCTTTACTTACTTCACTGGCTCCCAGTTAAATTGAGAATTGATTTAAACCACTGTTGTTAATACTGTTACTGTTGCAGTAGTATTTTATGCAGTTAATGGCCTTGCACCTTCATATTTATGTGAGATTTTATGTTCACAAATTTAACATAACTGCCAGTCAATTGTTGCTGGAGGTTCCCAGATCAGGTATAAGCAATGAAGTGATGGTTATTTTGCAGTGGCAGGTCTAAAACCGTGGACTACCCTCCCTACTAAACTACTCCCTACTAACTACTCATGGTCACAAATATGCCACCATTCAAAGTAGAACTTTAAACCTATTGATTTAGAATTGCCTTTGATATTCGGATGCCTGTGTGTCAGCATAGTGGCAGATTCAAAAACAAGACTAAAGGCTCGTACATACTGGGACGCTTTTCGTTTGCATTTATCATCAGTGTTTTTTCGAGACGTTTTTCCGGATTCAAACCCAATCGTTTTTCACTTGCATCAAGCAGAAGAGTATGCAAAATCACTCCATGCCATAGATGGCACTACACAACTTTAAGCATCTGACACCTGTTCGTAACACAGAAGAGGGAGACAGAAAGTTGAAATGCTTGTTATTAAAGTTACTAGCAAATCGAACAAGCTTGGATGGTTCAAGTAGAAGCTCCAGCTCTAGCGATGAAGAAATTATTATTGTTCACCATTGCAATAAGCAGCTCTACGTTCATATCTCCTCTGGGTATCTTCTTCGATGTGCACTCACATTGCCAGTTTTGGGCTTGAGCGCCATCACGTACTGTTTACTGTAACTTCAGTAGCTCAGTGCACATGAACAAAAGTGCCTGGTGTTTGATCTGGCATGAACGGACCTTAACGTCCTATGCTAATGAGGTAGAGAGTTACCAATGGGGTTTTCCTTGTACAAAGGGAGCGTGTCAATTAAAGTGCTTCTGCTGACTGTTTTTTTTTTTTTTTTTTTTTTTTTTTTTTTTTTTAATCAAGTGTGATTATTAAAGATAAAGTTAATACATTTTTAATATTAGAAGCTGGTAATATTCACAGGTTAAAAAGGTCTTTTTGCGTAGCAAGCCCCCTTTAATGTGTAAATTAGTTTTATTGTTGTAAACATAAACTGTAAAAGATATGGATGTAGTATCTGTGACGTCACTCATAGGTTTCTGAAGGCAAACAAGTAGGCCAACTGTCACCATTTTGTTCAGACATGTCATCACACCCATTTGGGGTGACCAAAAAAGGGAAAAGAGGCGGAGCGTCAGTGGAGTTTCAGATGCTTACTAGCATTTTGCTTAGACGGGCTTTTCTTTGAGAGAAATGCTTAATACTTCATTACCTGCGACTTGTTTGTGTTCTGACCACATGTGCTTGGCTGTACACTATATCAATAAAGTGTTTCGTCTTTTAAAAAACACTGTTGTAATTCTTTAAGCCACCTAGCATTGTTCTTATGACATTTTTCTGCAGGAGAAAAAACTCGAATTACTTTAAATATAGTCTGTTTTAATAAATACAAGGTTATTTATGAAATCCAGGCCTAACACTGTATAAAAACGTTTCAGATCACTGTTCTATAGCCTACAGCTAACCAATCTGTCAGATCCTGGAGTGCTTTACAGGTCTAAAGAAAAGTAGAAATGATAAATTATCTTCAGTAAAACAAATACATTAATAGATATGGTATAAAAGTATATAATTTCACTTACCTGGGAAATGGAGGCAACTTGAATAGTTTGTGAACACAATTAAGTGCACACAGCATGCTATACTATGTGTAATTGTAGGAAATAATTCAAAAAGGCAATTGACTGTAAAGCCACATAAAACGATACAAAAATATGATTTATATGCCGAGTTCAGCAGCTAATCAGCCGGAATCATCTGAGGTGACAAGACAGCGAGCACTGAGACACTCAAGTGGCCACGACCTTAATTATGCAGACTTAATAAAACTTAATATAAACAAAACGGATGAGTTATAAAAAAAATCACCCCCTCACAGTTGTCCTGAAGGGTAATATTAGCTCTTTGAATCAAAACCATCTTTTGTACCAGGCTGTAAACATGTTTTTTCAGCTGTAAAATTGGCCAGTTTATCACTGCAGTCAGAGAACATTCCTGCATCCAGCTACCCAAAAAGAGAGTTGATGAATTGCAGTTTCAGTTACTTCCATATTGGCTTTACAAGGGAGAGCAGGAGGTTTGCTGCTTGGTTGTAAAACATTTTGGGCAGCCCTTTGGTTGTAGTAAGGTGCTATATAAATTGGTAGTCGATTGATAACTCTGGCAATATATTAGTTAGACTGTTTGTTCAATTCCCTCTCTGGCTCCTCCACTAACTACCACAAAAAAAATATATATAATAATGTTTTGCTTCTTACACCTTCTTTACATGCCTGAAACTTGCCTACAGCTCTTATTCATTGTTGCTCTTATAGTTGTGTAAATTGCTTCCTTGTCCTAATTTGTAATTTGCTTTGGATAAAAGCGTCTGCTGTAAATGTAAATCAGTAAGGAATGTCAGAGTTTCTGTTTCGAACTCTTTTGGAATTTAATATAATTTGTAAACGGGCATCTATTTTTTGATTCTTGAATAATGAGTTCTATTTTCTGTTTTTGTGTTTTCACAGGCCTGAAGACTACAGGATGAAATGACCATCGCCATGCTGCCAGGCCTGGAGTTCAAGAACACATGTAGATGCTTTTATATATCGTTAATGTGAAATAAATTATCTCTCAAATTCTAAACAAAACCGAGTTTTTTTGTCAATGTTTAGCATTTATGGTTAGTATTTATAGGAAATTAAAAAATGTCTGCCCTTCCCTAGAATGAAACGGTCAAGTTTTATTATTTTTGAATTCATTCAGCACATCTCTGGGTCCGGCAGGAGCACTGTTAGCTTAGTTTAGCATAAATCATTGAATCGTATTAGACCATTAGCATGTCACTCAAAAGACCAAAGATTTTCTATAATTTTCCTATTTAAACCTTGACTCTACTGTTGTTTACATATACTAAGGCCAAAAAAGGAATATTTGCTATTTTCTAGGTTGACATGCCTAGGAACTATATTCCTGGTGTAACTACATTACTACATTCTGGTGTAATAGGAACCGTGGCTACAGCAAGAGCAATGATATTACACAGCAGCTGGGAAAAACCCCCAGCTGACACCTTCCAATGTGACTGGCACACACTTCCTGTGCAAGCAGGTGGTTATTTTGAAGGAAGTTAGATCATTTTGAGGTGCTGCATAATGTACCTGCTGCAACCATGGTACAGCAGCAAAGTTCCTTGATTATTACACTGGAATTATAGTTCCTAGCCCTATCAACCTACAAAACAGCAACTTTTTCATCAGTCATGTTACACAATGTAATAGAAGAGTCGAGCATTAAAGAGTAAAATCATTAAAACTTGTTGTTCATTTTTGAGTGAGATGTAAAATGATCTGATTCAATGATCTACACTGCAAAAAAATGCTTTTCTTGCTTAAATTTTTTGTCTTGTTTCTAGTCTAAATATCTAAAATTTCTTATATTAAGAAGCATTTTCTAGACAAGCAAAACAAATTGTCTTGTTTTAAGAAATAAAATGCCAATACAAGCAAAATAATCTGCCAATGGGATAAGCAAATTAATCTTGTTTTTTTCTTTTGACGTAAGATTATTTTGCTTACCCCATTGGCAGATTAGTTTGCTTGTTTTACGAAAAAAACTCACTTAATATTGGCATATTATTTCTCAAAACAAGACAATATGTTTTGCTTGTCTAGAAAATTCTTCTTGATTTAGGAATTGTTAGATATTTGGACTAGAAACAAGACAAAAAATCTAAGTAAGAAAAGCATTTTTTTTTGCAGTGTATGCTAAGCTAAACTACCCGTACTCCCGCCAGATTCAGAGATTGACTGAAAATTGTGAAACACAAAACAGTTTAACTCTAGTTGAACTGTAAAATTAGCCTTTTTTTAAGCACAAACGCATGCCAAATAGAGATGAATTTCTTGATAAACCACTGCCCGAGCAGCCCTATTAATTTAGTCTTGACTCTTCAGTAATAAAGCTCAGATTCTTTGGTCTTTGCTTGTCCCGCAAATGACTTTACCATCCACTCTGAAGCCAGATCCAGCTCTAATTCAACTGCCGCTTCAGCCCTAATTAACGTCATATGACTCTATAAGCCCTTTCTGATGCTACTTTGGCCTTTTTGAAGTCTGCTTAGCTCATTAAAAAAAACACTCTGCTGACATGGAAATAAAACGCCCTTGTTAGTCAGCGCAATGTTGGCCGCATAATTTTATAAAAAGGTAAAATTGACTTTAAGAAGCAAGAACAAGTTTATTAAAAAGGAGATTTGTTACATTTTAAAATGTAAAATTGAGCAATTAGCCACACACAGAATGGAAAACAAGAAGTCATTGTCGCAGTACAGTTTTATTGGTTACAAAAAAACAAATAATAAAGTAAAAATAAATAAGTTTGTGGATTTGAAAGGTCTGTTATGAGCGGACGGTAGACCACAGGCCTAACTCTGACTCTTCAGGTCTCTTTCACAGTGACAGAGCCATTGGAAACAGGAGCACGGAGACACAAAAGATGCCAGGCTGAGCTCTTCTTTATACAAAAAAAATAAACAGTCGGAGAGCTTTTACTGCATCCTCTGCATGGCACTATACCACCATATGGAAATAAGTTCACATAATACAGTTACAGTTCAGACAAAATGTGTGGCGTTACATGGGGTGTTGCTGTAAAGGACCAGTGGGAAAAGTAGGTTTGGTGAGAGATTATAAGAATTCAGATTTTTATAAATAACTGCTAGTGATGGGAGCATCAGATGGAGCTATTTACTTCAGTAAAATAATATATGTTAAGCAGCCGGTTCAAGATGAAATGCTGCAAACATTCGTGAAATATGTAACATAGTAGATCACCAATTTGCACTTAAAAATAAAATAAAACACAAACTGTACAGACACCCCTTACTGTCATTTATAAAAAGATATGGACGACATTTCAAACCGTTGGCTGCGAAAATCATTTTGTTAATCAGTGTTTTTGTTGTTTACCCAGCAAAAAAAACTTCATTGAGGAGTCCAGTAAGTATTGTGCTTTTTTTAAATGGAAGATATTAAGACTTTTCTTCAGACGATAAATTGTTATTATTATGTTTTAGGTTTTTAGGTTACATATTTATCACTTCACTGGCAGATTGGTGAAGAATGCATGTAAGTAAGTTTAGTGAGATTAATCTTTTAAGCATGACAAAATTGGCAAAAATTACAGTTTGGAAAACTAAAACTGAAAATGTGTTCAGTAAAAAGGAAAAGTATTTAATTACTATTATTATTTTACATATTTCCCAAGCATGCAACAATCATACAAGTCCCTTTTTCCTTAAGATTATTAATAATAACAAAACATATGATTATTGTCATTGTTAATAATAATAATAAGTGTTGGGGGTAACGCATTACAAGTAACACAAGTTACCAAATAATTTTACTTTTCTAAGAAGTGAGGTAACGCATTACTGTCCCAAGCATGCAACAATCATACAAGTTTATTTTTCCTTAAGATTATTCATAAGAAAAATATATTATTATTTTATTGTTAATAATTATAATAACAATAACATTAAGTGTTGGGGGTAACGCATTACAAGTAATGCAAGTTACCTAATAATTTCACTTTTCTAAGTAAGGAGTGAAGTAACGCATTCAAAAAACAAAGTAACCATTAATATTGGAGTTACTTTTAAAAAATGTAACAAAGTCACTTTAAATCCCGCACACATTGTGAGAATACATAAACGGAAAAGGAAGATGGCAGGGCCTTACATTTCTGTGAAAGAAATGATCTCATTATTTTGTACAGATGGAAGAAAAAGGAAAAGAGGATTATCTGAATGGACAGTTGATTTTACTTTTAAATAAGACTTATCTTACACCAAATTTTTAGCTGTTATTATTTTATATATAAAGTAAATGAGGGTTATACAGTTAATTATAATGTGTTGTTAATTGCAGAGCTCTGAAACAGGTCAAGCCTCAGCCAGGTCAAAATGAGAAACTCAAGTGTCACATTACCATAAAAAGTAACTAACTAGTTACTTTTTTGGGAGTAACTTAAATTTGTAATGCACTACTTTTAACATTCCCCAACACTGCTAATAATACAGTTAATGATAATCAAATTTAAATTATTATTATTTAATATTATTATTGTTATGTAGACAATTAAATTAAATTTAATTAAGATTTAATTAAATAACATTATGATGTCATTTCTTTTTATCATTGTCGTCAACAACAATAATATTAAATATTTATCATTTAAATTTCATTATTATCATTATTGTAAAGCTACACTGAAAAAAAAAATTTAATCTGCCAATGATTGTCAATTATAATACATATTTATGCTGTAAAATGTCTGTCTTTATCTTCAGAATGTTGTGTGTATTTTACCTAGACAACAATTCAAAAACACTCATTAAGAAAACGTATTTGCAGAGTTCCTCCTTCAGCTTTTCGTTTCATTGGCTACATGCAGCCTCACAAAAGACAGAAAAGTCACTGAATGAATTTCGGCACAGTTTTTTTTTTTTTTTTTTTCCTAATCTTCACTCACCCGCCCCAATAAGGATGCATATAGCAGGCACTTTTCGGATTTCCCTCGGTCCAATCCTGCAGGACATTCTGCTGAAAAGTGTTTGTATGTGGACGATCTGTCGGTCACCACAGCTCTTCTTCCTTCACATGCTCCTGCGGCTGATGGACGATGCCCTCTTCAGCTGTGCTGCGGGTGAAGCGGCGTGCGCCGGGTGCCCTCATGCCCGCCGTGTCACCAGGGTGTACGGGGCCAGGCCTGGCGCCACGGGGGTCGGGGTAGCTGGGTTGGTAGTATTGAGGAGGGTAGGCCCGGTAGCCGCCATAAGGGTCATCCTCCTCCTCATCCTCAGGGTTGTAGTTGGTGGCGGGGCCGTAGTTTTGGTAGGGATTGGAGGACAACTGTTGTACTATGGGAACACGGGGGAATTAGATCGATTGCCTTCTTTTTTCAGTCACCACCACCAGGGGAGCAGGTGTCGAGTTAGAAAGAGTGAAGGAAACGACAAAGAATGAAGGAACAAAGTCAGTGCAGAAAGGAAGAAGAGAGTTGTTATTGTCATTAGATTAGTTCGGACTGATGGATCAACAGTTAATTGTTAGCATGACTTATTTAGCCCTTGCTTGTTAAGTGTTGAACCTGGCTGAAATAATTGTTACTGGCAGCCATTTTTTTTAATAACGAATGAGTGTGGCTCTAATACTATACAGTGACTTATTGATTTTGGAGGGTTTCCAAGCCCCAGGTATCTTTCATTTTTGTATGCATATTTGAAGGTCAGTGCATAGTGTTTATGATGCTAATTTCGTCATGTGAATAGTAACCTATGTTAAACCAAAAATTTGTAACATAATGTGCAGACCATATATTTGACCCTGGACCAAAAACAGTCTAGTTTAGTTTTTACAAATTGTGGTTTATGCATTATCTGAAAGCTTTACATTATAACTTGTTTTTTTATAAGATAAACTGTAACAATCTGGAACCGGAAAGTTCAAAATATTGAAATACTGACAAAATCTTGTTAATAGTATCCAAATTAAGTTCTTTCCAATGTGTATTTTTATTTTTAATTAAAAAATAAGTTTTGATATATTTAAAGTAGGACATTTACAAAATATATTCATGGAACATGATC